CGGTAATGTGAACACAATCCCCGATCCCGCTGGAATTCTGTTGATGGCTCCCAATGTTTAAATGAACTTTTATAGGGGTTATGATACAGTCATTCGTTATTACATGGCCTTGTACGTAACATTCTCTTGTGATTTTATCATTTGTGGGACATGGTTATCACCGATTCAATCAAGATTAAAACAGTTGCACGTTTATTTTTGGAATTTTAGGGTCTAAGGCGAAATGTACAGACAACTATTTTTTTTTTAACTTTTCAATATCCCTTGAGCTCAGTACAAGCTAAATTGTCATAAAAACTGATGTATTGTATAATAATATTTAATCATTGACCCTATTCTTCAGGAATAAATTATAAACAAAACATCAATGTGCCAAGGTACCAACAATAATTTCACTCGAAATTTTAAAATTAATTGACACTTTAATATACATTGTAATTACCATAAACGATTTGTCATTTGTCAGCATGGGTTTTAATGTACTGCCAAGTTTATTTTAAAAAACACCAAACACCACCAAAAATGTTTCCAACATACGTCTGTGGTCCCTGCAATTCCTCTAAAACTATTTGTTTGATGTTATAAAGTATATTTTGCGATTAGTAACGTCATCAAACAATTAGTTTTAGTGGAATTGCAGGCACCTCAGACGTCTTTTCGAAAATTGGAATGATGCAATTGATTCTATCAGTGTTCCCGTTACAAATAAAAATCTAGAAACACCTCTTTACAGTCTCTTTAAAATGAGAATAGACGAGGTATAGTATCCGGAGCGGTATTGTCGAATAACAACAGCAGAAAATAAAAAAGCGATTATATAAGAGTTGTCGGAAACCTATTCCGAATGTCAGAGAGGGTGCTTCAACGTTGCAATGCTTAAAAAATGTTGAAAATATAGTGTTCAAAGCTAAAAAGAGTTTTAAACCAATAATATGAGGATATACAAACAACCAAGAAAGATAACTTATTTATTGTGACAATTTTTGATTAAAACTATTTCTATTACCGGTAACCAATATCAATATAAATATATAAATTCTATTACATACAATACCTCTATTCACACAACACAGGAAATAGATGACACAAATCCATTACCAGTCATCCGTTTGTGGCACAATTGAATTTCAAGTGATAGCTTCATAGTTTCAAACAGTCTTGGCAAAGCAATAAAGATAGAAAATACCTTTCCCGGTTTATATTGTGTAGATATAATGGATGTTAAATTCAATAATAAACATAAATTGATTTCATAACGTCTATATAATAACATTTTCTTAAAATTGCATCCAGTAGTGTATTGTAATAGAAATATTTTCAAAGTAAAGAAGTTGTAATGGTTTAATGAGGATCGTAATAATTATCTTGGCTACTATTGGCAAGGTTAGTCGGTAGGTCGTAGAAATGAAATGTGTGCTAGGTATAATACTGGTGACATCATCAAGTACTATCTCCAGCTTACCCTGCAGAACCTGTATCGCAATTCTTGACAGATGTTTATCATGTTGGTTGTGGGTTTGTTTTAAGGTAAGGAAGATATTTTTAATTTTTATGAAGAAAACCGCCCTGTATTCGCATGATTAAAGGGGCAATAAACCTTATTTGTTAAACTTTGGAAGCTATAATATACTCTATGTTAAGAAATACTTGAAATTGCATCACGAAACTACTCTATGTCATCTTAGAGGCACTCAATGTCAACTCTTTAAACTTTCATTTTCTCAGAAATGAAACTCGACTTCCTGCCCTCGAAGGTGGCAAGAGAATTTCTGGAGTGAACAATCCTAAATTTCTCATTCACCACATTCCTCATTTAGGATAGATGTGTTTCCGGTCTTCAAATACAACTACAAGTCTCTTGCATTGATGAAAAACAGTCGTTGTTCTAGATTTAGAAGGAGAATCTGCTTTTTTTTTCATTTTTTTTTCTCTTGAAACCCGCGTCAAACTTTGACGTAACATCCTGTTTGTGGCAACCCAACTTTAAAGCCCGCTTACAATAAACGTCTTTTAAAAATGTAAAATATCATTCATGTTGAATGATTGATGGTTTTTACAATAAACTTATAATACCTATTATAGTCTATTAACTTTTTCACATTTTTTAGCCCCAAACAATTGCTAGTTCAAACATATATCAGTATCTGCATTTCCAGATACGCCATGAAATGCATACCTAGCAAATGAGACATGCACCAATATGGAAAACAAACCAATACTTTAAGAAAGCATACCTTGTTCTAATTTTAGATAGAAATCTGATCTGAAAAGAGGACATTGTCCGATATGTCAATAGCCTGGCACCTTGACATATCATGGAACGTACTGATAAAACAAAACAGCTATAGTGAAATAGCTTTTGCCTAAGAATAGTTTTTTTGTGATATTTTTGTAACATATCATTGATTGCAATATAATCGTAACATCCTCTATCAAAAATGCAGGTCTTCAAAGTGTACCCACATAAGACAACTAAGCAATAAATCGTATATTGCTATATATTTTTTGCTTCTTGTGATATTGAATTTTGCACTTGCTGTTCAATGAGATCGTGACTATAATCAATTTCAGTAAACAAATTACTCAATTAAGATAAAACGGAATAAATATAACTTCTTACGAACCTTTATTGAAGATAATCCCGCTGTTTATTTTTGTACTACTGTATTGTGAATTACACAATACGTCAACCGAATTCCTCTCTTGGTTAAAAACCTTGTAAATAAGAAATAAAACGATAGTTTGTGGCAACATTAATCGTGACATAGCCTCAAGGCCCATCAATCAAACGTACTGTATATATCTTTTCATTTTATATTCAAAATATAAACAATTAAAAAATGTAAATTTTGTAAAGTTTATGTTTTGGGTAAATAAAAGCGTATTTATAATGAATTGACCGGATGCAACAATCATGCAAATTATAACCTGCGGCTTAAATGCAAATCGTTACTTTGTAGATAGTTTTTTACTTTTTTTCCGATGGCCTTTTCCTGTTAACAACAAAGTCTTAATGATAATTAGAAACCAATAGTAAACGTATACAAAGTGGGTGGAGTCGTTCGTTTTCATTGCATTCATATTTGGGTTAACCTGCACCGTATTATTTTGATTTATTTAAATGACAAAATTGTCGCTTTATTCTAGAGTTTTCGACAAAAGATATGTTCTTCTAATCACCAACATTCATAATAAGACAACGGTTTGATTCTCTTAGTTTCTATACTGTTGTGATCATTTTCCCGAACATGCTGGCGACTGTATTTTAAACAGTCAATAAAGACATTGTGGGATATATATTTCAGCCCAGTAATTTTGACAATTTTCTTTATTGTATTTATAATATTATATATAGTATTATTATGTTATAATATCATTAGTATTAATATTATCAGTGCTGCTTTCATTCCGGAGTACCAACAAGCAAGAAAACCCGGTAGGAGCAAGATCTGATTCCGTGTACGCCGACAAATTGAAGATCTACACCGATGGTTTCAGGAGCAGTACAGGTGACGGTAAAAGTCTGAGTCGGGGGGATAAGCTTGGGAACCTCAACAAGGCCAGATACCAGATTGTTTCGAATATACCAAACCAAACCAAACCATCTACAATATTTCTAAAGTATGCAATTTACATCTATATATCTATTTAAGTAGGCTACGACTACCATCAACCACCTAGTTTGCGATATCAGTATTCGCTGGAAGCAAACTCGTCATCTACCAACCAACCAACTCAATCGGGGGACAACTGTCGAGGCTGATTTCGAAATGCGGCAACTCTGTGGAGGCGTCATAATGCATTGCTTTGATACATTCCGGCGCATATTATTTTGGGGCAAAACGCATAAAAATCATATTTTTCCATTTGCTGAAAATAAAGTAGTACAATTGGGGGTACAAGCCATTTTTCTAGGAGAGCCAATGCATCTTCTTCAGATTTTACAAACACCTGTTTTTTTTTTTAGGAGGATCGGCAAATAATCACCGTTATTTATTGTCCACAAAGGTCAAGACAGACAATTCTGTTCAAAACTAAACTTTATGTAGTTATATAATTTTGGCCTTACCTGCCAAAAAAACATAAACTTCATGAATTACATCAACCTGTTGACATGAGGGCAGATAGACAATTTCTAGCATCAGATATTATCAATGTTTATCATTAGTTCATAATAGTTTATAATAATACTTATTTACTTATCTAATTAAAGATGAAATTATATTTTTATTTTGAAAAATAATAATGGAAACTGAAATGAACTTTTAGTGGCCAATGAAATATTGGCTTATAGAAACCATGACAGGATAGAAAATAAACCTCTTGTTTTCATTCTATTGCACATTTAATAGTTTATAAAATTTTGAACGAAGATAAAAATAACAAGCTTAAACAAATAGCAATGTTTTTTTTACATTACTACATATAAAATGACAAAAACATTCATAAATTTAATATCTTAAGAAGAATTTCTCTGAATGGACAAGTCACGAACAGTTCTCTATTTTAAGTATAAATAATAAATAAATAATCCAACCTTCAAGGAACATCCTTAAAATAATAGTAATCTCAAACTTTTGTAAGCAAAATAATCTTCAAATCTGACTGAAGCTCATACTTAATCTTTTGCCTAAGGTAGCCAACACAATTCAATTTTTACATAAATGTGAGAGATAAAAAGGTACCAAGACACTGATTATTATGAAAATCATTATTAAATGCTATACATCTACAACTAATGAGTGTCATTTCAAAATTTTAAAGTGTTCAGAAAAATGGGCACAAAAAAGTTACTTAAAACAAAATTTGAATTTTTTTAAACGGTTTCATTAGCATCAGAATTTGGAAGACTGGAATGGAATAATGAGTCTCTTTTGTCTTTTATTTCCTGTGATTGCTTTGATGGCTTGTTGAAGAATTGTACTATTTCTGGGTACTTTTATTCTTTGATAAGAACATCTAAGGTCTTTAAAAACTCTGTATCAATGTTGACTATCTATTCAACATCTATATAACTGACATGGTTTATAAGATAAAGCTACTGGTAAAACTCTACTACCTGAAATAATAACATTGTATTATAACTTTACTTTCATAAAATTAAAGATACCATAAAACTTTAGCTATGTGAATTAGCAAGAAAGGATAGTTTTGACAATATGTGAACATATAGTATACCAAGGTTTTGGAGAATTCAATAGTTGAAATATCATGCTTACCATCTTCATTTGGGGTGATATTTAATTGAATCAGCTTTACCACTTCAGTCAAATACTACAAAATAAAACAATTACCCTTAGAAATCTCTTTGAATGGCATTGAAGTCACTTTACTTGGTAATCATTTATGCTTTGAGTTTTAAACAAGAATATATAGTTTTCTGTATATAATTCCTGTTCTAATGCCTTGTAATGATAATGCATAAATAGCTCTTATTTCCAATTAATTTGTCCTTATGAGGAATGTACATTCAGAATGATTACAAGATCACATAAAAATAGTCCAAAACACTAACCTCTATAATTGGTGAATCATTATCATGTATACCTAGCTTGGTTAAAAAACCTTTCACAGAATTACAATATTGCTGTTTATAACTAGATATAGTTGAACTACTGAAAAAATAACACATAGGATTGAGTCAATAATAGTCAACAAAATCATATTCAAGTGTTATATGTAACAGATTTGGAAAATACAGCTTTAGTGAAAAAAACGAATATCAGTAAATACTTGTAGATACTAATTTGTTTACCAATTACATGGTGGTTGATATTATTGTTGCTATATCTGCAACACTTGATAATGAATTATCTGGGATACTTGAATATATTTTTGGACACTTATTATGAAATGTTAACAAAATAGTAACTTACTTTATTAATAATTTAGTTGAACCAAGACAAAAGGAATGATAGAATATAAAAACTTTAGATGCTATATCCATTAACCAACTGGAAGACAATAAATGAAATTTAACATAAAATAACATGAAATATTACATGATTGAAGTGAAATCAACACTACACCTTTTATACTAAATATCTATTATCTTTGATAATAGACCCGCTACACCAAGGCTGGAGTAAACTAGAGAAAGTTTATATGACTTTATATGCAAGTTCTAACGTTTTTGCAGAGTCTTTGTCACGCGTATGTGTTTTTATACTGCTCAAGGAGATGTTACAACACTTGACTGACGATCTTCTTGATCGAATGACGTTCTCAATGCGTTACAGAACAGATCGTCGAGCCTTGGCGTTTGTTTTGAACATTTCTAATGAATGCCTTTCCAGTGTGATGGGCCATAACATACTTACAATGCAATAATAAATTTAATCATTCTCATTTTAAATTATAATTAATCATTATGAAATTATCTTATCTAGATTGAACTGAATGTTGAATAATAGATTATATGTTTGAACCCTGGGCCTAAGGTTAGCTAGCAAGTTTCTAACTCACTGAGCCAACGTAACTCACAGAAAACTAATCTAAACATCCTTACAACTAAACTAAGACGTGAAATAAATACATACCAATGGGTATAAGCTATAAAATCAGCATCAGTTTTAAAACATTTCTTCTTACTTATAATATTATTTATCAAAACACCCTAAAATATCAACAATTACTTTTAACACAAATAACACAAATAATACTAATTTGTTATTACCATCAACTAAATGCTCGACAAATAACATTAATAGTGTTAGATGCTCTATACGATCAATAAATTCATAATTCAAGGATTTATAAAAATATAACAACAATTTTCTTGGCTTACCTGATAATTTGGAGCCAATATGACCCTTTTTTCAACATCTATAATAGTACAATACTTCTGAAATGCAAAAAAATTAGAAAAGTTGAGAACTCGTTGTTTTACTAGCACAAGATATTATTTCTCAGTGACCAGAGACTGTTCATTAATGGTTTTAGGTAATGGTTTTACAATCAAATATCAAGATCTGTAGAATTATCATTTATTACCTTAACATTAGAATCAACAGATCTTTTATCTGATTTACAAACACCAGCTAGTTTAATTCTAGATAAATCACTGATTCTTAATGGTTTAGATGACCATTCTAATATACAGTTATGTTTCCTGAAAAAATCAATTAGAGTTCTCAAGTAATTAGACTCTAGACTTGGGTTTGCTTACGACAAAACCACACATACAAATCATGTGTTATGCTGTTGCCATTAGTTGATGATTTCAGACATAATCTTAAACCCTGATGTTCTTAATAGGGACTGAATGAAATAAAGTAATATTCCAAACTGAAATACTATGGTCTGGATCTAAAACCTTTTAAAACCAGCAAAAATTTGGAAATTCAGAGCAATTAAAATGAAATGTTTTAGGGAGATGTAACACCAATCAAACCAAATTGTAGCCCGTTATAGTACTAGAGGTGGCAGTAGAATTCTTTCTTGGCCAACAAATCTAAAGAAAATGTCACTATATATGTTTGAAAGTGCTAATAAAAGTGCCCTGTTACCTTCTATGTTGTGGAAGAAATAGACTAAGTGCAGTGACTAGTTTAATAACTTCTAATTCTTCTTTGATAGTACCAATAACTAATACAATTCTACCAGTTAATATACTATTTATTATAAACTGTAAATTACTGTACTTATTTAATACATGTATTATACCAATACCTAAAACAACAAAACAATAATTAATATATTTTAGTAATTTGCTATTAGCTGGCTAATTTGCTAATTTGAGTCTCATTTCCTAAGTTGGCTGTCCTGACAGTTATTGTGTGTCTGAAGTATGTATCAGTATCAGCTCTAATCAATCTAATATATATGCACACTTAAAATAAACAATAATTTATAATATACTGTATAACATACCTGGACTACCTGGTCGTAGATTAAACAATAAATCACCTAATGTATAAACTCCACTACGTGGTTTCCTACAGAAAACAAGCCATAAATTAGTTACTTCTAGGATATAGGTTACTTTTCCAGTGGATGCAATAACTTTATTATTAAGATGTATTTTTTTTCATTCAGTTTTTCAATTATCAATCCAATATCTCTTACACTTCCCTTTTTCACAAACTTGTTGAGTCAAGCTGTTGATAGTTTCTTACACAAAATGCTGTAAAACAACAACCTCGGTTCATTGCCCTTTGTTAAACCTATGATATATCTTTGTGTACTATATTAGTAGCAAGAAACTATATCACTACGAACCTGAGTAATGGTGAAAATGTACATCTGATACCATCAGTACTACTATGAGTTGTATCTACAATAACATCCTAACAATAATCATTACACTGTATAAATAATTTTGATATTATTGATTGGTAATCATTAGTCATTTAGATATAACCATTTTTTTTTCAACTATCTAACATGCTAAATTGAATGTTTTGAATTCATAACTAACTATGACATCATGTTACAGACTTATAAGTTGAGATTTCTGACTTAATTTTTAGATACATGTATTATATACTGATTATATACTGTATATCCAATTATCACTTTAAATTTTACTTTAATTTGTAACTGTTACCAGACATAATTTACAATTAATCTAATATGGTAAAAGTAATGGGATGTAATAATGATAGAAAATGAAAAGTAAAAAGTAATTGACCCTTGTCTAAAATATATAGCTTACTTTACCTGTATTATCATCAGGTTCTGAGTATTGTCTAGATAAACTTCTATCTAATACATCTATTTTACCACTACTATTACCAATATTAATAATACCATCCAGTCTTTCACTAGACTCTGATAGTTGACTTGATGTACTAGGCACTCGACTTAACTCACTACCTTTTATTTCATCTCTTATATTGTCAGTCTGTATGGAATTATTTTGAATATTTTCTGAAATGCTTTCCTCCACAGAAATACTGTGTATTGAGTTCTGATTTTCACTATGAATTCCACTGTCCTCATTTTCACTAAAACCTTTGGAAGTGTCTGATTTTGAGTCACTTAGAGAAGATTTTCTATCTTCGGTACTAGAAATTTCACCTGGTAGAAATGTTTTATCAGCAGTCTTGACTGGTGAGTTAGGGAATGATTCGTAAACACTAGGTACTGTATCGGTATCGGTATGTGAACTACTAATACTAAAATTACTATCAGTTCTTGGAACACTTTTCTGCCTGGACATCTCATCTTCATCAGAGAATCTAAAAGAAAATGATAAGAAATTAGAAATATCCATCTCAATTAAGTCTATACAGACTTCTGCACTTCTATTATCAACCCAAACAACATACCAACAGCTAGTTATACTATTTGAGGCTTTCAAACTGATTTCTAAGGATTTAAATATCATTTGAACGACCATCAGGCTTTAAATATGGAAAGAAGAGTAAGGTTATATAACACATTGTAAAATCCCATTTTGTTTATGTTGATAATTTTACAATTGTGTACCCACCTATCAGTAGCTATAATAAAACTATCAGATGACTGGGCTGATCGTAAAGAATCTAAACTAACTACAGATTTAAATGATTCCATCGAACTTTCTAATGTGTCTAACTGAAAATAAATCATAGTACATTATATAGATAGAATAAGATCATCAACAAACAGAGATATACGTAAGGATATTGATTACCTGAAAATTCTTAAAACCAACTTATTAATTCATGATTAACTCTGTTCTCTTGTGAATTAAGTAATTAGGTACAGATATTATAACTGAAAGTAAGGTTAATACTGCCCCAAGATCGCAAAAGTCTACATGTTGCATGTGGAGAACTAGACGTTTTTATTTTGAAAAGCAATATGGTAAAGCAATAATATTAAGACAATTGTTACCCTTTATATTAAGTTGTATTGAGAATAGAGGGGGGGAGCAACATTTATTAGCTAACACAAAATATAACTATACGTACTGAAGACCATCGTTGAGTAATATCTATAGGTTTACTATTTATATCTAAATAAGAACAGTCAGCTGGTCTCCTATAATGGAAAAATACTCTACCTATTTGTAATGAACCAAAAGGCCTATATTTGATACATGGCAATATCATAGGTTTAAGGTTTAATTTTTCATTCATTTTGGGAATACTCTTTTATCTACTGATATGAACAAATTTGATCATATCCAAGAAAAATTGTAAACAGTAACAATCTGTTGTGATATATAGGTTGATATCAGACAAGTAGAAGGTAAGGAGAGTTAAAAATAATATAGAAGATAAACTAATACTCACAATGAAAGATTGGAGAGGAAATTATGAGTAACACATTGTCCTATTGATAATACTGATGAAGGAGAATCTAAAAACATAACAAAACTGTGTAATAAACTTATAGCGTTATAAAAGAAATTAAAAGTAGTGATCAAATACCACATCCTAAACTACTCGAAACTTTGAGGTTAATACTATTTTGTTTTATTAAAGGTAGTCAGAGTCTTCAATATCTAAACCCTTGATCCAACAAGCCAATATTCTCGTCAATAAAGTTGATTAATTCAAGATTTGGAATTGGAACAAAATATCATAGGAAAATGATTTTAAGTTATATTAGTTAATGTATTTACGATCATTGTTTGGATTCATCTGTTTTATAACTTTTAGGAAGCACAAAACATTGAACAATAGTGTTAGGTAGTGTGGAAAATGGCTGGTTACATCAAGGGTTACATGTTGACCACTCATCATATTAAAATTCACAAATAAAGGCCTAACAATGACTTATCTTACCCAATAAACAACTTTCATTACTTTCTATTTCTAATATCATACCATCTCTCTTAAAATGCTGAAATGGGAAAAGAAATTCTTTACCTGATTTGAGTTTAATTAGGAATTAGAACCTAATCAACTAATCAACCATTCAGCAGTGGCTTAATTTTCTATTAAGTGGATACTTATTTGTTAAGAATCTCTAGATCAAGTGACATTTTGACGGGTAGCTAGTGTTAGGTACTAAGTCATCTAATTATTACTTAGATCAGTTATAGTAACCCTAATAGTTACACACCCTATACCGTTAATCTAGTATAGAATGCTTTCTGTATATTCAATATCCTGAAAAACAAAACTACTAACCTCATATATCGAGCGTAGTTTTTTCATGCCTTCTTTGGCTCCCCATGAACATAATTCATGTAAACTTCTCAATGTTCTGTCAAATTTCTTCTTTCTTTTGGTCTCAACTAACTTTGGCTGAAAAAGAATAAATCAATATCAAATAACACTAAGTAATCAGCAGTCTTTGAGATATTTTTTTATATTTTGTTCAGATCAGACATTAAGAACAAGAGTGAAAAAATCATGAGTTAAAACATAATACTTACAATGTATACTTTTTCTCTATCAAACAGATGGAGTGGATTTTCATTTTTTTCATGGAATGAACCATCTATAACAAAATAATGTAGTCATAAAGCCTTTTCTTAAAGCACATATAAATATATTGAGACCATATCCAAAAGAAAAACGGCAATTGACAGAATATATTGTACCTGATACTCTCAACAATTTATAGTACACTACCTAGAAATTTTTAAAGAAACTAATTCCTAAGTATTTGATCAAATGATATAGGAAACTTACAATGGGCAGTAGCAGTACCAGTGTGATCTGTAAACCAATTTTCTTGTAGACTCATTGTATCTGATTTATTAGGTCTATTCCAGTCATGCCAGGCCCTCTTTTCTAATGTATAAAATCTATTCTCTAACCTTTTATCATTCTACAAAATACAATAACACTTGTATAAAACAACACAATTTGTGAGACAGGAAGTTTAGGCTGATCGATACATTTGTGAGAAAGTTTACCTAAACTGATCATCCTAATTGTCTCAAGAGGTGGTTAAGCGATTACATTAGACTTTTTAAAGATGGCGGCATGTGGAAGTTCAACAATAATAATAACCAACAGAGATGACTTTTTTTTTTGTCAGTGGAAGCAGCCATATTGCCTAATTACCGATATCAAATTCGCATTTGTAGACCACTGCTCGACTAATTGAAATTGAACCAATTCGCTAGCACATCAAAACCAATCAAATCGAACTTAGATCTCCAACTGACTTACCAATAATGGTTTTAATATAACTAGTATATCTCTGATTTCTTCTAATGTAGTTTGTATATTATTTAAATCTTGATATTTTCTATCATCAGTAGGACTAGTAATAGATTCATCAGACGCAGCTTTACGGTAATTTACAATCAAACAATCTACAGAAACAATAATAAACCCTTTTAAATGGCTAGCAAAAACCAATGAGAAAACTCCAAACTAGATCCAGTTATATCAATTTATAATGTAGTATAGTCAATGATATTTTAATTTACTACCTCAAGATAAGACTGGCAATGAGATATTTTAATTAAGACTTTGTATCCTTTTAGCAGTCATAATTTTAAAGCATCTTTCGATAATGAGAAGTTTCTTATGACTTCATTAGCCATCTTGCAAATTAGTTGTATTCTAAATTTATCTGCTTAAAATAATTAAACAAGACTTACTTTTAGTATATTCTAAATCAGATGAATGTTGCTCTAAATCTTTAACAAATACCATTTTATTACCATATTTAAAATATCTGGCAACCTAATAAAAAAATATGAATGCCATTCTCAGTGTACCATTATAATAAAACACATAATTATATCCATTCAAAAATATTGTAGCTTTAAAAAGCATCTTCTGCGTCTGCGTCAAAAATAGTCTGATAACTCTTCTGGGAGACAAGACTGTTACAAAGTCATCCATAATATTCAACCAATAAACCATAAGCTCACCTAGATGATAATAATCACTTGGTATATTTGTTTCATTCAGACAAATACAACAGAAATATAATTCTAAAAATTCCTACTCGCCTTTCTAAAACTTGTAGACAATTCATCATAAAAATTTATCAACTTGCTACAAAACAAACAGGAACAGATATATATTACATTATGACAGACATTGTACTTTAAGAACACGAATTATAAACTAATAACTTAAACAAATAAACCAACAGTCTAGTAATTAGTAACTTTAGGCATATAAAATATTTTTAATGATTAATCAAATGGTAACAGTGACTGACCTCTGATCTGTAGTAACATATGCCATACAAAACGGTCTGACAAACCCTCGAGCTTCATTATCATATAAAGCAAAGTGATGAACCTGAAAATATTAATAAAGATAAGATATGGGCATATTGCATTATTACTCTGAAAAATAGCTTGATATAGTCTCTGTTAAGAGTGATAAATCATTTCATAATCAATTTACTACTTGAACTTAAGCTTTGGCGCATGTAGCATCATTAGACTCAAACTTCTCAATGGTCTTTCATATATTAGAAAAGTTTTACTTACAAAAGCAGAAACATTAAATTCTCCTGAATCAGTCAATATAACTTGTGTATCTTCTGATAAACTAAATCCACTATAAAATATGAAAATCAATGAAATGATAATGTTCATTAATTACGAAGTATTTTTATTAAGAAGCATCTTTAATTGCAAAATGGAATAAAAGCTAATGTAAAACCTGTTTTTAAAACATTCATAAGCAAGTGAAATGCATAAAACAAGGACTGCTTCCTTACTGACAAAATAACTGTAGAACTCAGTTGTCACACACTTTCTCTTTCTTATTGATGGGTAGTTTATAAAGAAAAGTAAATATGGTGTGTTCAATAGTCTATAATTTTGAGTCACTAAACCTGCAATAACTCTTACTAAAATAGTGTTTTAGGGACATTCTGCTTTTGTGTAGGACAAATTTTTTTTTTTTTTAAAATATGTTAAAACTGTAACACCAAAATCTAGGGAAATGTGCCCTTTAACGTATCTGAAAGTTTTAACTAAAACTATCCAGTCGTTAATTTTTTATGCCAAAAATATCTAATAACATTACGCTATTAAGCCATTAAGAAGTCAAACACTAAACATAGGGTCAAAGTCATTATTGCACATGCGCACTTCTCCATAAGCTGACTCTGCCCAACGGAGCGTTAACACTGCAAAGATATTTTTTGCCATACAGTATTGGTCCGGACCAAGACCACCTCTCCTTGGACTTGACCCACTTGAAAATAGCATGGTGCCGAGCCCTCTCAACCTGTTTACACAACCACTTTTCTGTCGCACCGTACTCGGTCCAGATAATTTGTGGCTGTCTTAACGCAGATATTGTGTCAAAGGTTTTTTAAGGTTCTACTGGTAACAATTGTTATAAAAGTAATTACTTTCAAGATGTAAGCCTTAAAATATTACCTTGTACTTGTTTGATGATCTACAGCCATAATCTTAACTGAAAAGGCATTTTTATCAAACTCTGATCCCCCATCTCTTGGAATGGTCATCTACAAACAAACTTTCAAATATATAACATCAAATTATAGGTCTTGCATCTCTACCATATGAAGGAGACGTGGTGGCTCAGTGAGTAAAACGCTTGCTCACTAACCTGAAGGTCCAGGGTTCGATCCCGGCATAGGTCGAGATAATAGTCGTTCGGCTGTGCACGTTAAAGATACCTCGACAGTTGGAAATCGAAAAAGAACAGGCTTATGCTGCTGTCCTGGCAAAATTTCCCTCATTGCACCCTGCATGGCGTTGCCCTTCTTCATTAGCCCACATGGTGCAGAAAAGTAGGACGTAAAACTCCATTCATTTCATTTCTACCATATGAAGACTATCATAGTTGCATACTACCCAAGAACACAAGACATTAAACTAATACGCCAGTCTACTACTATATACTGGGCTGTAGTTATGTTTTTGATGTAAACATCTCAATTTACTCCTTGTTTTCACAAATTACATTGAATATTAACTTGGCTCTAGAAATATGAAATAAGCATTCTACTAATGAAACATACCAAAGGTTTTGGTCCTTCAATTTCAGAGAATTCAGCTATGATAATGAAATCATCATGAGACATATCATGACCAGTTTGCCAAGGATTAGTAGATTGATACATTGGTAATAAATATGATGGTAGATAAGATGAATTTCCCCTTTCACCACCTCGGTTTTGAGTTCCATCTTGGTTTATATAACTAGCAACTTGAGCATATTCACCAAACATACTTTTCTTAGCTTACAATTTTATTGTCTAAATGAGAAAAAAGAAAGTGATTGAGCCTACTCTAACTATGTCCCTATCATTCTCCTATCCTAGCCTATAATATACGCTAAGTATATATATTATATATGATGAGTGGTAGACTTAAACATCTGCCTCTATTCCAGCCTCTGATAGTCATTTTGAAAGTTGTCGCTGAAAAACTAGCCCCATTTTGTGGGGATTTTTCACACCTATAGAGGTGGGGATGTTTTTTTTAAAACTTATAGATTTTTTTAAATTGGATTCGCTCCCAGATATATTCAAAAAGATGGATATTTTTGTAGTTCAGTCATATATCATCCTAAGCCCACTACACCATTTAGGTCACATCTGTAGTTACATCAAAGTATTTTAAACGAAACCGACTTCTTGTCTGAAAAATGGGTTCAGCCAAACGTTCAAGCGTCACAGAGACTTTAACTACAGTCATCATAAGGGTAAATTTCAATTATGTTGAATAAAAGGCATCTACGGTGGTGTGGAAATAACAATTAAACAGGGGTTAGTTTTTCTGACTCTACACCAGGCGTCAACTCAAAGGCTGGAATAGATGCAGGTGTTTCGGACTAGATGAGTGGGAGATACTGATATGAGTATTGTCTTTGTAAAAGCCCATAATTGTATAACGCCTTTATCACATTTGAGGAATGCCTGCAAAATATCCATTTTTCAGTGTTTTAATCGTGCATTGCGACAATCACTATCAAAAATACGAGAATTAAAAGAAAATGTTTTACTGTTTCAATAATAAAACTGCAAATACGGCCATATTGGGTATATTCGTTCTGAGTGAAAAAGATGATAGTGCTGTTGCTGATTTCTTTTAATTATTGTATCTTTACATCTCATTAACCTCGTAAACAAGAAATATTGATTGAGATCAATTCTATGACTTGGCCATGATCAATTTTTCTTTAGTAACAATACTAATTGAAATAATAAATATGACAGTGCTTCAGTAACTACTATCAAACGAACTTTGCCTGAAATGCAGAAGCGCCTAAAGATTAGTCATGGATTTTCGCCCACACTGGAAAGAAAACTGGAAGTAGAGGTATGTTTCCGATTCTGTTGCATTAAATGTCGCATCACCCAGTGTGACAATATAAATAGCTAATAGAAAACAGTTATAGAAACATTTCAATAATTCATAATATAGTTTATGAAGACAAACCCAATCAGACATTCGTCTTACAGTCTGGCCAGAGGAAAATGCTCTTTTACCACAAACAGTTCTCAGTAGCAATGAGCACCCATGATATTTGGGGACATGTCGGTTTTTTGGAACGGGCTATTTGATGCCCTATTTGAATTAAACTGTACTTGTTAATTAAGAATAACACGTTGTTTGTTAATACACATAAGATATTTGTTCAAAAACATAAAATTAGTGTCATATCAATACAAGATCAATGGTGGCACACTGCCATCGTGTCACTATCTACAAGATAGTTGGACACGTTTATTCGTATGCTCGCCCTACTGACCGACATTATTATTAATATATAGTCCTTTTAAATGAATGAATTCGTATATATAGGCCTAACAAAGTAAATAACATGCGAACTGAAAATTCTATGTCAATTTTTTTTATGAAAACAAATTGGTATATTTTTCTTTAAGGCAAAGACAGTTCCTTTACAATATTGATGCTTAACGATGAATAAAAGAGATTTCGGGTCGTTCCATGCTTCAAATGTTCAAGAGCTGTTATCTTTATCAGAGGTAAGTAAATGTGGTGGCCCCAGGGGTATATTTTTCAAGTGAGGTGAGGTTGCGCTGTTGACTGCATATGTATTCTATTCTTCTTAGATATTTCAATAAGGGCCCCACATTTTCAGTCTGAAAACTTTTTCTGAAATGAAATGAATAGGACCTAATAATGAACTTCGAAGTCGATAAGGATGTTTAAAGTCATTTAAGACACTCTTACAAAAATTTATTCACTTAGAACTTACCTGATAACATAATGCTTTAGGAACAATACCAAGCACCTTTACTTCCCGTTGACAGCGGATTGTCCAAACTTGTCACTGGAGATGATTTTGATTTTGGCGAAGTTGCGAGAAGAAAGTATTTTTTAATTGAGGTGGGTATGATGTATGTACCAATCTGAGATTGTAATCTTACACATCCCAAAATAAAACATTACAAATCAAACATAATATAGCACTTACAAAATCCGCTTCCAAAATGTCATATTTCATAAATTGCAAGGAGGTTATTTTGATCAATTCGTCTTAATATGTTCTAATATCAGCTGATAGGGTTCATTTTAGCCATCTGTTACATTTATTATATTGGAATTCAACCAAAAAAGTATAGATTTCAGGCTCTTATGCAATCTCCGATATAACGAGGTTCGGCATCAGCGACAGTCTGAGCTTTACGGGTCACTTTTGAAGGGCATGAAAACCTCTGGTCTTATTTGGGCCTGAAAAATGCTGAAATCGGTCTTTATCCGTTATCAAGGAATATATACATTTCGGTCAACAATTGGTTCATGTGCAATGTGCAAGTACAATAAATAATATATTATTGAAATTTCTGTTTATCCAAAGGAGGATTGTACATTTTTAAATCATGGTGCATTTGGTGGTGTATTGAAACCGGCTCTCGAATATGCACAGGTAACCATCTTGCAATATATCATAACTTATATTAACATTCAACAAGTGGACAAAAATAACATACACATTAGACTCCTTACTCATTTCCTGACTACAGGAAATGTCCATTTTGTTTACATAGTTCACAATCTAATGGGACATGATGACCTGCGTCTGTGAAACCCTACAGGAGTTAGTTCAGCTTTTACTTTCTCATGAGTGAAGTAACCTTATTTTGATTGTAAGAGATGATCTATGGCTGTGTTCAGAATAAAATTGTCTTTTTTTCACCTTAAGTCTAAGACTTCTATTGTCATATTGTAAGATTATGAATCTAATATGTCGTTCTGGTTTACAGAAATGGCAATGCTATGCAGAAAAACAACCATTGAGGTTTTATGATAGAGAGTTGTTACCATTACTTGCTGATGTCACAAGGAATCTAGCTAAATTTATAAGTATGTTAATGATAATTTGAAAGCACCATCTACAATTGCCTTGATAATTTGGAAACTTCTAACTTGTTCTTTTGACAATTATAGTTGATACGAAAAACTATCAGACGACACTCGTCAATGTCTGGAGCCCGACGAAACAAATGATTTGAATCCAATTTGATGGTAACCACTTCTGCGATCAATGATTTTGAAGATGACAGAACCCGTGTATTTACTTGTTCATCTCATTATGTAGAGTATAAAAGTAAAAATTCGTACGAGAAAGACAATTCCGTTTATCAAAATCCCGTCCAAAGCATGGCAAAATCAAGAGTAATTAGCCATATGCCATCTCCATCCACTATCTTTCTTTCAGAGGAGTATCAATGGCAAGGTCCAATCAAATATTCCGACTAATGCATGCTTGTCAAGATGAAGGATACTATGTTATGGAGTTCATGAATGCTTTTTGATTTTTTGTTTACATTCTCCTTTGTTGTATGTGGAATCCGAGCACTAGTCAACTTATTTTTCACATATGCTAGCAGCATATCAGTACTTTTATCTAGATTGTTCTATTTGCAATTTTGTCATTCAAAAAAAAAAAATTCACAATTGGTAAAATTGCAACCACTTTTATTTCAGACTGTGATGCAACTGATTTAGTATTGATATCAAATGCCACAACTGCTTTAAACTCTATCATTCGTAGTTTTAAATTTGATCCTGGGGATGTTATTCTTATGCTGAATGTAACTTATGGTACGTGTTTTGATTTCTTTTTAAAGACTTGAAATAACCATATATCTGGCGTCTTTAATACAACATGCCAATGAAATAGTGCAGAAATTGTTATCATTCCACTGTTGTCACTTCAGCATACTTTGCTGAACAACATCAAAATAATTGAATCTCAGACGTTGTTTTGTATGCTATTTTAGGAGCAGTAAAGAAACTAATTAAACAAGTTTGTCTGGAAACTGGAGCTATTGTAAAGGAAATAGAAGTTAAATTTCCGATAGAAGGAAATGAACAGGTTAGACTGATATCATTTTTGACCAATATTATGATAATGTATATGTCTGAATATTCGCCTTTGTGACACCAGAAAACCTGCATTGTGTTCAGACCAATTTATTGATAACCAATAAGACATACTGGAAGGAGCATGTACAGTTTGTAAAGTGTTATAGGTAGCTCCGTAGTTTTACTTTTACTACTATAACAAACCAATAAAGAATTTTTATTCCCATCTCAAGATATATTCAAACATCTCTGATTATGTTACTTTTTCAGATAATAAGTCATACGGAACAAGTATTACTGGGAGAAAAGATTACACTGGCCGTATTTGATCACATTCCCAGTAATACACCCTTTATTTTACCAATACCAGAACTTGTACATCTTTGTCATGAAAGGTATGAACTTGTTCAAAAATTGTATATATGTTTTTAATAGTATACTTTTTGCTCGAACATCTTCATTCTTCTGATATTTTTTTGATTATATTTTTTGTATGAAAAATTCTCTTGATATTGACAATGTAGCAGCTTATGTTCATTTCATTCTTTATGCAATGTTAGTGCATGTTTGTTTATGTTCATTGTTTAGTCATGTTTGATTATGTTCATTGTAAATGTATACTGTTTCAGAAATGTTCCCGTGTTAGTGGACGGTGCTCATGTTTTTGGTAATATTCCACTTGATATCAAAGCAATAAATGCAGACTTTTATGTTTCCAATTGTCATAAATGGTTTTGTTGTCCAAAGGGTGCCGCTTTTCTATATGTAAGAACTGAATACCAAGCTACTATTAGACCTTTGGTTATATCACATGGATTTGGGTCTGGTTTTAATTCAGAATTTATTTGGACAGGTATATGGATTATTGTCTTCTCATGTCTACTATTTTTAAAACACATTCTTTAAGTTTAAGGGATTTCTGAAAATGTTCGGAGTATTGACTATCGGTATTAACCTTACCATTTTGAACAGCAAATCTCGAAAAGCGAAAATATGGCAAGGGTGACATGTTAGACCTTTTACCAGTTACAATGTTATGTATTATGTTATAGGTTTACATGACTACAGTGCTTATTTATCATTGTACACAGTACTAGAGTTCTGGCAGAGAATCGGACTACATGATATTCTTCAACATAATCACTGTTTAGCTGTTGATGCAGGTATTATAATTACTCTCTTTGTGACTTTAGTATTTCATATTATGAAATATTATAGTCTTTTTTAAAATTCGACTTATTTAGGAGGAACAGATTCAAAACGGTTGTGAACTACGTTTGTGTGTGTTATTTACATATGGTAAGAATCATACTTAGTTTCGTATGACAGCTTGTCGTGCAGTTTTTTTGTTCGGTTAGGTTTTCACCACAAAGGCTATGTAATATTTGATTTGAAAGCCCACAGAACTAAACCATAATAATACTAAATTATATTGTGTATGTTTCAGGTAAATTATTAGTCCAATCTTGGAAAACACAACTTATGGCACCGGAAAATATGTTTGGTAAGTTGTTCAAAGATACTCTTTTAAACAATTTGATATATCAGGCCTTAAAATAGTGGCTTAGTTCTGCATGAGCCGAGAATTGGTCGGTAATTATTTTTATATCAAATTTCGGGCATTTTTTATGAAATGGGTGGCGTATATTTCTGTCACCCACCTCCGTCCGTCCGTCCGTCCACAACTGCTCGTAAACACTGTACAAGGCACAATTCTTGAATGATTACGGAGAAACTTAGTATGGTTATTAGTAGTCACCCAAAGATAAACCCTATTGAAAATCAGAAAATTCGAACAATATTTAGTATGAGTTATTGCCCTTGCTCTTGAAACGCTCGTAAACACTCTAGAAGGCGCAATTCTTGACGGATTTTGATGAAACTTGGTGTGAGCGTTATCAACCAAAGATAAACTATTTAAAATCAGAAAAATCGAAAAATATTTTAGAATGAGTTATTGCCCTTGTTCTTAAAAACGTGTTCTGGCCTGTAAACACCCTAGAAGGCCCAATTCTTGACAGATTAAATGAAACTTGGTAATATTATTCAGTATTGCCTCGAAAAAGTTGAATATTTCATACTGGTAATTGTTATTGTACTGCCAAATATTTTTATTTAAAATCAAAGCCGCCAGTGGTATATTACCTTGCCTGACAAGCTATCTTAAAATCTGATTACTATTTATGATTTTAGGATCAATGGTTCTAGTTGAATTACCAGCCCAGAGAGACAGAGATAAAATAACATATGATGATGCTGAAGCCATACAAAATACTCTTTACCACAATTATAATATCGAGGTAAGTCGTGAAGATAACAAAAAGTAATAAAAATAACAGACACAAAACAGCATAACATCATCATGTTGTCCGAAACACTGTAAAACTTCACGAAAAGACAGGGTGTTTTGACTGTTTTCAGATAAGTTTGTCATGTACCAAAGACAGCAATTATAACAAAGTGAAACGAAGGCTATAATATTTAACAAGCCAAAATAATGGAAAGGAAAGATTTTGACTTTTTAAACTTTTAATGTCATATACTGACTCAACTCTGCAGATTGCATGCTTGATTGCATTAGGAAAGTTTCTATAATTACTAGAAAGGAACATATTGAGATTCTCAAGAAAAAAATTACAATTGTAACTGATTGATCTGTTATTTTATATTAACATGAATCTGAGACTGTCAATCTTTTTTATTTGATTTTTCAGGTACCAATAAAGGTGGTGGGTAAAAGATTATGTGTCCGTATTTCAGCACACATTTATAACCGAATAGAGGAGTATGAAAAACTAGCTAAAGCTATTCTTGAAATATGTGACTCGTCAAGTTAACCATTTTTCTAAGAATGAAACCCATCAAACCTAACAAAGTCTAATTAATTCATATTTGAATTCGAAGTATCAGATAAAATTTAAAGTATGAATGCTGCGGATGTGGAAAAATCAAACGATATTTTTGGTGCAAAATAAAGATGTTAATGCAAAAGAAATTTTATTCCCAATCCCAATATTTTGATAAAAAATAGTTTTGTATTTCAGAAATATATTATATTTCATTAGATGTACAAAATTTAAAACAAACAGCTACTCATATAACATTTACCAAATTATCACATAAACTTTAACTTCACTTGCATATCCAATCACAACATTCATTTCCTGCCATTTCTTGACGTATATTTACATTTACACGTATTATGTATATCAGAGGGATGTATAACACATTTGTAATAATCCTAATTCTGGATCAGGCGTTATTGTAGGATTAATATCATTATAGTTCTGTTCATACATATTGCCAGTTTGTACTAAGGCTTCATGTGGTACATAATTAGGATCAGTCATTATGGATGTATCAGTACTGATTTGACGCAACACACTCGACATACCTGAAATTTAATTTTCAAGAATGTGAACTCAAACTCAAGTACTTTTGCACAGCACGTTTGTTCAGAGACCTTCAATCGTCATCGCTTACTACCTCTGCAAGAATGGCCTTAAATTTCCATTGACTACGATAAGCAGTCTTAAAAAATGAGAGGAACTACTTTTTGGATTTGAAAAAAATTGCAACGAAGCTCTTTTGCTGAGAAAACGCAATACTTACCATCTCTAAGTGAACACAATATACCATTAGTTGCCCAATCTAATATGGAATAATTAAACGTGTCAAATGTGGCTGATATAACGGTTTGTTTAAATGATTCAAATACTGGACGAATGAAAAAGCTGAACTATTAAAGGTTAAGAAAAATATCTTTAATATTTTACTATAAGGGCGTCTTCTCTCATTTGGTTTAAGTTAGGGAAGAAAAAATAGCATTTGCCAATACCACATCCTTCGGCTGCCAAAAACAGGATTGCGAAAGCCCTTGAATAAAGCCTCTACCTATATGGGTTCTCTTGGGGTCCGACAATTTAGATGTTCTCCCACGAACAACGAAGAATCAAGTCTTGAAGGTCTTATGGAGAATCCATGGATGTAAAATATGGCTATACACTTTTCTTGACGATTGAAATATATGGCGTGAACTGAAAGCCTTCAGATTGTAATCACTAATTAACATAAGATTCTGGTAATACAACTTGTTTACCTGTACAACAGATAATAGTTCTCAAAGGATACAATCCAGAATTTCCAGTTATCTCGAGTACGATATTGTATATATTCTTCTAGTCGATCATCGAGTGTGTACAATGAAGTATCAAAGATATTGGTATGTGGTAGATAGTCCTGATACTGTCTGGAAATAAAGAAAAATAAAGCACCTTAGTCTACAAAACGAATATATATTCAGAGTGTCCATCGGACATGAAATCACATCTCTATCAAGAAAGAAGAAGTTCAAGATTGACTGGAAAAGATTTCCAACGAGTATATACTTTCAAATGCACCAATACTCATTCTAGGTTCCTGAAGCGAAGGGCAAGTAGAAGGTAAAAGTGCCTTTTATACGATTTTTTAATTTGCTGCAGTCATAGTATAGAATTTTACTTACTGTGTTTCTAGATTTAGTTGCTGTATTTCTTGTTGAAGAGATTCTATTAAAACCTTTTGTTCCTCACATTCTGCCAATACTTTCTTACTGTAATCTATAGCTACAAGATAATTTAAATCTTAAGAAAAAGTGATAAAAAAACCAGAACATTTTCCATGTAAAGTGGATAGTTACCGGCAAAAATGCACCGGATGAGCGAGGTTTGGTTATTTCGAAATGAGTCTGCACATGTTATTCCAGTAGATAGTACATACAATTCATTACTGAACTACCATTATTGAACAGTTGGAGGGCTCCTGTCGACTGGCTATTCAAGTATCTCATTGGAGCAAAGTCCCAATATAAAAAAAATGTTACTGTCCATACTACTACACCGCTTATTTTGATAGCGATACTTTTGTTGTTGTTTTTTTATAAATGACGCCGCTTACTTTGATAGCGACATTGATATAATTTTCTGATTCACGGTAGAGTCATTCATCGATAAATCATAGTATTAGTACAGTAAATTATTTTTTATTGAAAACTGATTTATACCCTTCCGGCATTGCATTCTAAAAAAATATTATTGATAAGTTTGTTATTTATTTTCTTCAACATCTACCTTTAAATAAGATGTCTGATTTGCTGTCTCTACCGGAAGTAACTTCGCCATGTTTTGGCACCATGTTTTTCAATGTTCGGAAACAGTTCTGCAAGTGGAAATATCAGTTATGAAAATACGTTGTAAAGAATCCGATGGCAAAGTAAAGTTGAATTAGTTTCGCAAGTATCAAGAACTATTATTCATGAGCAGATTTTTTGCCCTAAAATATGCCACCATTTACCTGTATTTTGCCTCTTCTTCTGTGCTCAGCATTTATATGAGACACACGCTTATGTCTGGGTATAGGATTACGAGGTCTTCCACATTTTCTTTTGACTTTGATAGGTGTTAAATTGTCTTTAGATGTATGAAGTTTTGTTTCGGTTTTAGTTATTGATGGTGGTACACTTCCCTGCAATCAAATACATACGTATATTATTCATTATGCTATATACTACAAACATTGGCATACATTTATAAATTATATAATAGATTAATTAAAGTTAAACTAACACGTGTCCATATAGCCAGTGGCGGAGGCAAGAGGGAGGGGGGGGGGGGGCAAAAATCTCATAACTAGGTAAGAAATTCGAACAATCTCAGATATCTCGTTCCCTCTCGGACGTAAACCTGGCTCCGCCACCGTACACTGAATTGTACTCTAAATGTGTCTGCCAATTCAAAATGTACATTATAATATATAGAAAATTATGATGTTAACAAACTTATATCATATTCCAAGCGATTAAATGTAAAAGTTTTAAGTGTGATTTATTTCGTTTAAAATTTCTATTAAACAAAAAAAAATACTCAAATGAAGTCAGGTATATAACTTTATGTACAAAAAAGTGGCGAAAAAATAACCTTTCACAAAAGATGATCCTACAATGAGTATATTATTTACGACTCTCGTGATATTTTTACATCATTTTATTGTTTCCATTTCAATAAAACGGCAATAAATGTGTCAAAAATTCGTCGCAAATGCTACAGAAATGGTCAACACTGTTTATTTAATTTTTGTTAATTCAGAAATTTGTCGCAAGAATATTTAATGGTTTGTAAAAAGTATATTTTGGGTGTTCTGCGCCTGTAAATTGATAGTAAAAAGGTTAATAAAAAATAACTTTATATAATATTTAAATATTTTCCCAGCAGGATATAACATCTCTCCCATAACTCTCTGTACATTATACCATGTAATCATATACTCGTACCTTAGTAGAATTGTCAAGGTCAATTCCATATCTCAGCAATCTATATATATTAATTATGCCCAGGTTTTGATCAAAAAAGGAATAACTCATTCTGTGGTTCAACTAGATCCCCTTCTCGGAAAATTTTACATGCATTTTTTTCCCGAGGGCCCCTAAGTGGTTGAGGCCCGTGGACTTTTTTTCGACCAGTCTTATATGGTAGTTGAGCCATTGAACACTTTAAAATATTGTCAACTCTAGCTCGTTGCTTCTTCAATTACTCACTCCGTCTTCATTAGCCCATATGGTGCAGAAAAGTAGGACGTAATAACTTCATTCATTTTATTTTTTTAAATTACTCACTAACCCATATTCAACTTCGAACTTATCCGTGATCACCCTCATAAGCATAATATCCTGCAGTTTCATTTTAATCGGTATTGGGTGTTGTATAAGATACTCTCCTTTACATGCCCTAGTCAAGGTCACAAGATAACATGCATCTATCTATCTATCAAATGAAAATGAAATGAAATGAATTCAGTTTTACCTCCTACTTTTCTGCACTGTGTGAGCTAATGAAGACGGGCTATGCCATGCTGGGTGCAATGAAGGAAATTTTGCCAGGACAGTGGCAGCAGGAAACCGGGTTGAAGGTATAATCTCAACCTATCTATATAAAGGCTTGAGATTAAAACTCTAGGTTTTTGTGAAACAAGTCAACATAGAAACGTCAACTCTGTTCGAAGTTTCTATACGAGACTACGCTACCGACCAAGTTACCAAAATCCGATTTTTTAGATTATTATGTTAGAATGTGTACTCAATAATAGTTGAAGATTGGACAAGCCAAGGTGAATTAAAGAACACATTGAATTTTTGGTTTATGCTGCCATCTGCCCAACGTTCAATCAGTGTCATTGAAGTGCAATCGCATCATATTATTATGATAGAATAAAATTGACTTTTGTGAAGTGAAGTGATTCCTTGACAATTCTTTACACGTTTTCATTTCTAAGAAAATAACTTCCATAAAAACTTTTTATAATGTTAAATTTGTATATAAAAATTAAAGTATATAAAAAACCAGCAGACTCTACAATTAATAGTGTCCATGTCAAAACACTTTCTTGTAGAGTCAGCAATACCACCAGACACTACCTTCAGTTTGTTATAAGCCTGTTATTTGAGTTAAACTGCTCCTTCCCTTTCTTTCTTGATACAATAGTTAGAAATCAGAACTGATACAATCTATGCAGTTGTGCAAACAGTTTCAATGCGATGTCCTTTTCTGAATTGCCCTAATTAAAATTTTCCTTATTACTTTCAAGTTAAAAGTTTACAAGAACGAAGATCTATACTGCAAAACACGTTTACATTAACGTAAAATTGTTTTGTCTCTAAGATTCACAACAATTTTCTTATTTTATCAATAAGTTTCTTGATATATGACAATCTCTTCTACCAGCGTCATCATGACAGTTTACATTTTGCTTGACAGTAAATATTCGTTTCTGAATTTGATTGAAACGTAGTTAAAGCATAGTTCTGGTACTATTCTAGAGCTCCAAGCCACAGACATTTTAAGGGACCGCAAACTGCAATTTAATGTTGAATCTGATTTCTTCCAAATTCTTCCAACTCTATAAATAAGCCTACAGTCCGATACAGATTAACCCAAGACTTATACTTCATAATAAATACTAGTTAAAACGACCCTTTAAACATTTAAATCAATGCCTCTCAACAAGGGAGGAAGTCCCCCAGAGGAAGGAATTGGAAGACTGTGGAGAGGAATTATTGTCAGATGCATGGGGAAATTGGAAGGAACTGAGATATCGGGGAGGAAACGAACATTTAGCCACAGGGTCACATTGAATTATCTCAATATGTGGAGTATGATTTTCTATCCATGGTTAATCGTTGAATATATTTTTTTCGAGTTAAATACGTTTCAAAATCACTGATTTACTATGGTTAGGAATGGATTTGGAAGATTTCTTTCGAAGAGGAATGATCTCACTGAGGTTGAAACACTGTTTAAAATGTCATACTTGATGATATAACACTACCATCAAAGTGGACCAATGTGGGACTCAATGTGCCCACTGCATCTTGTCAATACTAGTGTGTACTTTAAAATTAAGTTATTGATTGCTAAGGTTAAATAAAAGAATTTTAAATCCCATACAAAAATAAACAATTATATAAACACTGTTCACAGCTTGCAATATATAAAAGCTTGCAATATGCCAATTATTCTCTCAAAAACAAGAAAATATCACTTCATTAATTAAGAAACATAAAAAATATCTTACTCTGATTAAATCTTGGAGCATTTTTGATTCAAGTGTTATCCACATAGTTTTATGCCCTTGATATGAGTATATACATATAGCCCACGATAATTTAAGGAGTTAGATACTACAATGTTATCGAGACTAGTTGACCCGGCATTCTTTACAATGTGCCCTTAAAATACTACACGTTTATGTAATTATAAGGTCTTCGACTGAATAAATTTCCAAAAAATAAAATGCTTGAAGAAGGTAATGTCTTTGTTATTCTTTAGTATTTAACATGGATAATTCAATTAGCACATCCGAAAATTGTAATTAACAAATGGATTAATTAGACAAATTAGCATACCTCAATAGAGGTTGAATCCTCTTCTCCAAAATTAAAATCCACATCATCATCAAAAAATGTCAGATGTGTTGTGAACATATCTTGGTTCATGTCAAGCTTACTAGTGTCTATGTCATTTATATCTATATCCATTTATTTTATATTGTTGCATACGGCACCATTCACTGAGCGAAAGACCCTTACTCTCTTATAAAACACATAGACTGTAGGATATTAAAGGGAAAAGTTGATATGATGATACATGAAGCTAATTTGACACCATCTTCTATTATTTTCTACGTTTTTGTACCCAATACACAGACCTACGTCATAGTGTTAATGCCTTTTGTCCCTCTTATTGTGATTTTATTTTATCTAGTTTTAAAATTTTCAGCATCGGTATACACTTCAAAAAGACAGTTTAATATTTGAACATGTGCAAATTGTTTTAATTGCTATTGAAGTCAATATGTAAAATTTATCACTTGCTTAAATGTTTAATTCACATTTTGCTTATATTGTCTGTAATACATCTTATATGTCTATCTTTCATTGTTGTCAATCTTCGTTGTCAAGAAATCTTGTAAAGCTATCTTCGGCCATATTTATCAAGCTTCAATGTGTAGCCATCTTTATCAATTTTTTAGCATGTAGCTAACGTTGCCAAGCTTAAATACGTGAAGCTTTAAGTTCTAATATGTAGCTAACTTTGTCAAGCTTTAATGTGTAGCCATCTTTATCAATGTTTAGTATGTAGCTAACTTTGTCAAACTGCAATATGTAGCCATCTTTATAAATTTTTAGTATGTAGCTAACTTTGTCAAGTTCCAATGTGTAGCCATCTTTATAAATTTTTAGTATGTAGCTAACTTTGTCAAGCTTTAATGTGTAGCCATCTTTATCAATGTTTAGTATGTAGCTAACTTTGTCAAACTGCAATATGTAGCCATCTTTATCAATGTTTAGTATGTAGCTAACTTTGTCAAGCTTTAATGTGTAGCCATCTTTATCAATGTTTAGTATGTAGCTAACTTTGTCAAACTGCAATATGTAGCCATCTTTATCAATGTTTAGTATGTAGCTAACTTTGTCAAGTTCCAATGTGTAGCCATCTTTATAAATTTTTAGTATGTAGCTAACTTTGTCAAGCTTTAATGTGTAGAAATCTTGTTAAGCTATCCTCATTAATCTTCATTAGGTCATCGTTGCAAATGTTAAGCTATATATGTTAAGCTTTATGTTAAGGTATCTTTATCAATCTTTCGTAGGTTATCGTTTGTAAATATTTAGCCATATTTATCAAGCTCTAATGTGTAGATACCTTTGTCAACCTTTAGTGTGTAGCTCCTGTTGTCAAGCTTTAATAATGTTTAGCTACTGCTGTTAATCTTTGGTCTGTAATCTGTCGAGGTTATTCATGATATTTAAATGTTCATGTTACTCTTTGATATGTATCCGCTGCTGCTGGTCTTAATATATGTGTACTTGTTGCTGCTTGGGTTACTGTCAGTCTTTAATGTGTATCTGTAGCTGCTAGTCTTTAAATGTATATATTGTGTGTGCTGCTAATGATGTATATTTCATTATTTTAGGTAATGAAAACCCTGTATATTATCGCCAATGGGTCCGTGTTGCTGCCAGTTATGGTGCTGCTTCGTCCTTTGGCGTTTGGTGGGCACCTGCTGCTCTCAGTCTTTAGTAGCTTTCGCCCTGTAGACGTTTTGGTGTTGCTGTCAGTGTTGTATTTGTGTTTGTGCTCCTGCTACTGCCAAGCAAGTATAAAATAATTTTGTCTAAGGAAGGACTTGTTTATTAAAAAATCACATTTTTTCTCTTCTTATAAATGAATTTCTGGTTATAAATGTGAAATTTTGTAAATCTAGATAATCAGACTATTCGGGCATTTAACTTATAGTAATCTGATATATTAGCAGTATTGTATGGTAATGAAATAGAGAAATAGCAATGTCTTATTATTTGAACAAGAGTTATATTAGGTATCGGATGATAATTTATGTTTTAAGTTTTCATTGTTCATAGCTGTTCGTTTTCATACCACAATACATTTTCATATCAATTCACATCAAAATACATTGCCTGGTGTTTAGCTATTTGTTTGGGGATTTTTAAACCAATCTTATCATCTTAATGTCGTCCAAATGAAATTCAAACCATCTGATACAAACAGATAGCAAATCCCAACTTTTTGTTTCAAGTTTAAAGCTATGTATAATGTTTCAATATTGGAATTCGAGTAACATTTTTATCCAATTGAACGTATTGTAAAATGTAAAAAATATAAGAAACGAAAACTAAAACGTTTTCGGCTATCACATTCACACATATAAGGCCTATATTAGGCATGCGGACACTTGCAAAAAAGGGCCATCAGAGAAAACAGTTGAAAGCATGTTGGTGTATGACAACATATTCCATGTCGACGCTTTATTGTTTTTCAGACCATAATTGGTCATTATTTTTGCAAAGTTGACGTGTATGCCACAAGCCAAAGTATAATCCTTTTGTTAAATATACCAAGGATATTACTTTCATTTTTCAGTGACCAAGGTTACTTTCCTCTTGTTTCCAAATGATGAATAAAACAAAATCCATTCATATACATATATTTTTCAAAAATGTCGGATTAGACGTACGGTTGAAATTCTATGAATATATTATATTACAACTGTAATGTAACATGTAAGATCTAGGAATCTCAACAATCATTATATAGTTACCTAGACACATTTGACAAAGCATTTAACACAGTTTAAACTCAAATTGACACCTGTTTGTAAGGAAAGGAAAAAATGTCTGGAATTGGGACACGCCGTTAACAAAAAAAGACCTACATCGCTCAAATCAGTTCTTCGCATATTTCTACTAGAAAATACTTAATAAAAATGTTAGATAATCTTTGTAGATTAACTCTCCTTTTATAAGCAGTAATATTTCACAGTCATCAACCTATGGTGTTCACCAGAATCAATTGAATCCTTTTGCTCCAGCTTGTTTTTATATGAGAAATTTGGAACAATGGTTTCTATACTTCACGTGCGAGGTTAGATCTCTTCAAAATTGAAAAACTGAGTTAAAAAGTTTTATTGTCGACATCGTAAAATCATTCAAAATATGACAAATCTGTGATATACATGTATGGTTCCATATCTACTCAGGGCTCAACAAAAGTAATGTAAATAATCTTAAAATTAGTATCTTTGACAAATTTCTTTAAATTTACCTATATAAAAATTCTAGTAATTTAAATTGAATTTAATTACACATTTTTTTCATCTAAGATTTTTACCATTAACATATTACAGTGGCCGTAGTCGTTATCGTAACGTCAGATCTTATATTGATTCTTATAGATTAAAGCTTTACTAACTGGGGTATCTGTAGATTTGCTGACGTCTATGGTAGGTTTGTGTATTTTATAGTGTCTTAGTAACTAATGACCAATTGATGGTATGTAAATGTATTATTTGTATATTAATTATCAATGTTATCTGTATATTCTCATCTGTCATACACACCTATTCTATTCTGACTACCGAGGTATCCACACATTTCTAGTTTTTAAACGTATTTCTGAGGAAATTATGGTATTTACAAAAATGACACCTTTTAATATCACAAGTGTAGAAATCAAAATGCATATACTTATATAACAATTAAAGAAGGGTGGTGTAATTCATAATCAAAATGCATAGACATATAACAATTAAAGAGGGGTGGTGTAATTCATAAAGATAGCTTGCCAGGCAAGGTAACATACGCCCACTGGCAGCTGTCAGAAATGATAAGGCAGTCTTTAGTGATAAAGTACGAATTTTCTCATATCAGAGAAATTTTATTAGTTTGATTCAATGATATATATATTTACGTCCAGTTATTTATGCTGAGTAATTCCACAAAATTTTCTAAAATCGTTATCAAATTGTTAAAAGTGAAATCGTTGAAAATTCAAACTTGACCAAGATCTCACCAATATAAATAAAAAGACGTAAAACTCTATTCATTTCATTTCATTCATCATAAAAATAACATGAAATCTGTAGTCTCTATTGTGTTTATGAACAAATTTTGAAGCATTTTATCTAAGTCAAGGACAATAAGTCAAAAACCGTTCATCGAAAAATCGTTAAATTCGAACTTGACCAAGATCTCACCAATATACAGGGGCGACGGCAATATAAGTCCACATTTCCATATGGGCGTATAAAAATCACATGAAATATAAATGATCACACCAAATGTCATTAAAATCAGTTGAAAATTGTAGTCTCTATTGTGTTCACAAACAAATTTTGACGCGTTTTTCCTAAGTCAAGGACAATAACTCAAAAACCGCTAAGTTATCATAAATCACATTATTGCATTAATCAACAGAGTTAATATATTAAATTAATATCCTATAAGTTCGTGGTTAAATATGATCGACAATGTTCACAATAGAAAAATGGATGATAACTTTAGCATGGCTACCCTGAAAGGTTCTCTTCGGATAGATTGTTAACTGCCAATTTTCACCTCAAATGGCGAAACTCACATTATATAACTAATATAAATTTTGAAAAATAAGCATCCATACAATAACTATCTGTGTGGTTCATGTTGTGTGTTTGTGTTTTCTGTACTTCCAGAGATATTTAAACAATAAGCATGTTTCTCAAAATTCTGACTAGGCCACTATTTAGTCAAGACAAAGGACCAAGTTTAAAGGTTTATTCAGTAAAGTCTTCACTGCCGTTTTAAAAATCTAAATTATTGTTAGATTTTCAAAAGTCGGTCTAAGTCGGAAAACTATGTTTTCATAATTTCTGTGCTAATTTCCTTTATGTAGAATTACAGAATGTTATAAATATAATTTCCCTTTTAAGTGATTAGATAAAAAATAAATGACATACACAAGTGAACAGGTTATCAACTAATTTGACCTTGAGAGATTTAAGCCATCAATCAATCATAGCTGCTCACAACGTTTATCATTATTATCAATCGTTTTCTTTTTTCGTCAATGAATTTGCTTGCCCATCTATATAGATCCATGCAAAGTCAATTGGGAGCCAACTAGGTTTTAATTGGTTGTGATAAATTGATACATGGAT